AAGTCATGTCAATCATGATATAAGAGGGATTGTGTCAACACTGAAAGTTTTAAGTTATAAGACATCTGTATTCATCTCCACTTTGTTTGTTCCAGAATGTGCCCGTTCGCATGCCTAAGCGTATGAACATGATAGAAGCATACCAGCATGATCCCCCTCTCAGCGAGGTAGGCCTGATTTTGTCGACTTTGAAATAGTTGCAAAAGCACTTTGCAAAGTGTACCTCCTTGGCTTCGGTCGTGTAGGCTAGGCTGAACAAATTGCAATCTTGCAAGGTACAAATATGGAACTTGAAATTGTCGCAGAGGGTGACTGATGTGCTTAAGAAGGTGTTATAATGAGAGTTCTTTGCAAATAAATCACGAGGACCTTCCTTGATGCTAATACAACGGTTGTGCATATTTTTCTATTCCATTGTTGGTTGGGCAGAGTCAAGCGTGGTGTGGTATCGCAACGATCCTTTTTACAGAACCCTCTTCTCATAGACAGCTTAGTATGAATCTCCCATTTCCGTTTAAGAAATCCATTGTGCTTCAAAGCGAGAACGATGAAGTGAAGTTGCAAAGGTTATGTGTTACCATACCCGCTGGAAACGACCTAGTTTCTCATACGTTATAAAACCTCCGTGTCGAAACTAAAATATGATCGCTACGAAAACCAGAATCATTTAATTCTGAAAATCGAGGAGAAATAACAGAAAAATATGCACATGAACGAAAGCTTTAAAATGTGCTCGTTGGCGCATGAGGCTTCAGGTAAAGATGCGCAAGTTGCGTCATCAACTACGCAGCTTATGACAGGAATTTTAAAAATTAGGGCTGAATGTCTAGGAGCAATTCTGGATGAAGAAACCATGTGAAAGAGATATTATATCGTTGAAATAGTTTCGATAGGAAGTAGTAGTTCATGTTGAGGGGAAAAAACAAGAAGATGCGAAACTGCTTCAAAGTACCTAGCTAGTTGTGTTACATCCAGCCTTAAAGGAATAGTGACGCAACTGTTAAAAACCTATTAAAGTGAGCATCACTGAGCAGTTTTCAGGATAGTGTTGCCATCAGGAGACTGTACATCAATAAATCTAGCTCACTTTGTTTGTCATCATTTAAGCAGTCTGCGGACTGTTTTTACTCTCGTCTAAAAAAAGAGTATTGCGTTTTCGGGAAGGGAAATGAGGATAAGTATAGAGAGCACAAGCTGAAGTGACAATCAACTTTTCGCCATTTAAGCATCATTAATAGGGTGCAATTTCTTTACACGAACAGAGATTGGACTACGCTCAAGCATACACCTTAGCACAAGGCGGTGATCATCGATGTTCCGTAGAAGGTATTGATTCGAATTATTTTTCTCACACACTTGTCCTAGCTAAGTAGAATTAGGGTATAAAGCTAATACGCTGACTGCCAATTTGAGAAAGACTCTTTAGAGTAACCTTTTCATTGTTGATTTAATTGATTTGAGCTACTTCTAGTTGTTTTAAATTATTAGTGGGCAAGGGTAAAACAACGAACTGTTACTATAATCATCTACAATAAGGCATAGCAATTATTTTCTACATGCACTTCAATCTTTTATCAATGTACATCTAAAATTTTAATCCTTTCCAATCCTATTGACATTTTTCTTATCTTTTAGCACTCCAACAAACTACTGCAAAAAAACTTTGAATTGATGTCTATAATCCTTTTCCGTACAGACTAATTAAGATTCTCAGTATGTTATGGTGGACTATTTAACCTTCTGGTCCCCTAGTATGGCTCTTCCTCACTAGCGCAAACGCCCAAACGTCTACCGGTTGAGTTATTGCTGTTTCTTTTGAGAAAGATCCAAATTCGGAAGATCTTTGGAAGTATATTTATGTCACAAAAAGAATACTAAGATTACTTGACTTGTTTATTATGAAGATCTTATCCATCCTATAGAACAAGATTTACCGTGAAAGAGGCGAAGGTGATTTCCCAAAAATGCTTTGATTTTGACATCCTAAGCAATGATCGTATCCATTCCTCAAGATAATTCCTCTGCAGGATACGCTACTTAGACTATGAAAAAGCAAACAGCGAGAGTGAAAAGCAAATGTGAATAAATATGTATCTACACCGCGAAATTGGTCTGCGGTGCAGAATGGAAGTCATATTTGCAATCAAGGTGCCACATAACCTCAACAGGGCACTTTTGAACAAACCTTAGAATTGAC